TATCTATCTATCTATCTATCTATCTATCTATCTATCTATCTATCTATTGATCTATCTATCCATCCATCCATCCACCAAGCTATCTGTCTGCCTGTCTGCCTGTCTATCTATCTATCCATCCATCCATCGAGCTATCTATTTATCTATCTATCCATCTATTCATCCATCCATTTAAATCTACACCCATATATACATTTACATACACACATATGTGTGTATATCTATAGCTATATCTCCAATCCTAGTCTCTCCCATGAATTTCAGTCCCATATCATCAACTGCCTATTGAACAACTCAGCATGTCCAAAGCAGAACTCAGTATCTTTCCCCACAAACTTTCCCCTCTTCCAAACCCCACTATTTCTGTCAAAGACACCACAGCTCTTCTAGCCTCCAAGGTTTACAACCTTCAAGTTATTCTAGATTCCTTATCCTTCCTAAACCCACATGTTTACATGGTTGCTAAATCTTGCTGTTTCTACCTTTATAGCATCTTTTTGCATCCAACCCCTTCCCCCCATTCACACGGTTATGATCTTGGTTTAGGTTCTCATTGCCTCTTGCCTGGATTATTGCAATAGCCTCCAAAGTGGGTTCCTTTGCCTTAGTCTCCAACTCCTCCCTCCATCCTGAACACAGTTACCAAAGTGATTTTCCTTAAGCACAGATATGACCATGTCACTGCCATATGCAGTAAACTACAGTAGCTCCTCCCAAAAAGTATGAGTGTACACATATGTATACATGTATATATACAGATGTAAGTGCACATACATATGTGCATGCATATGTCAGATATGTATATATATTTCCCCCTTTGTTTAGTTTCTAGAGCCTTTCACAACCTGGTCCCAGCTTATCTTCCTCATCTCATTATACATTACCACCCCCCCCCAAACTCTTCCATCTAGCCACACTGGCCATCATGAATGGTCTTCCTCATGAATGACACACATGCCATCTCCTGTCTCTTTGACTTTTTTCTGCCTGCCCGCCATGTCTGAATGTGCCTGTCCTCACCTCTGCCTCAAGGAATCCCTCTCTTCCTTCAAGGCTCAGCTCAAGGGGCACCTTCTGCCACCCCCACCCACCACTTCAGGGTCCTCCCTTCCTACTTGGCTCCTATCTAATTACTTTGGATTCCTTCTTTTCAGGTTTATTCTCTACATACTTATGTGTGCATTTGTTGTCTCTCCTGAGAGAACGCAAGCTCCTTCCAAGCAGACATTGTTTCATTTATTATATTTCTATCCCTAGCACGGTGCCTGGAGGACTTAAGCACGCACTTAATAAATACTTGTTAATGATTGAATGATTTTTTTCATTGTTGTATCCCCAGGGCCTGAGACAAGGCTTGGCACATAGTACTTAATAAAAGCTTGTTGAATTAAATTGTTTTCCCAATTCTCTGCTATTCCCTGCTTCAATGAACAGAATATAGAATGAAGCTCCCCTCCCAGCCCTCCTGACCTGGCAGAACACCACCTAACAATGTCCATGTCTCCTGGGTTTGATGAACAATCAACCAATTGAACAACAAGCATGCATTAAGTGCCTACTTCTTGCCAGCACCAAGCTAGGCAAGAGCCCACCCAGCAGGAGCTGTTACAGACCTTCTGGCCCAGGAATCCAGGCAGGCCGGGGCTGCCAGCACTCCCCTTCTCACCCTAGAGGAGAAACACAGGTGGGTTAGGAGGTTGAGAGAAGACATGATTGTACTCAGAGACTCATCTAGATAGATTCGACTTGTCCTCTCCAGAAGCCTCCACGGTCTCATCCTCTAAACTCCACCTACATTGTTCTGGGTTGGCCTTTGACCTCTGGCTGCCAGCTGAGCCATGATCCCAACACTCATGACTCCTAGCCCAAACATCATGGGCCATAGCATTGGTGAATAGTGATTCACCTGCCAACCCAGCATGAGATACCATTTGGGCTGGTGAAGAGCAAATCTCATCTATTCTATCATTTGGGCCTCTTCTGAGCAAAGATGGTGTGATGGAAATGCACTGGAATCACAAGGCCTGGGTTCAAATCCTGCCTTTGGTGTTTGCTAAACATGTGATGTTGGGGCAGTCGCTTAGCCTCTCTGGGCCTCAGTTTCCTCATCTGTAAAATGAGCGACTTGGGCTATACAGCTTCTGAGGGACCCTCTAGTTTTGATTTTTATGATCCCTTGCCTGGGGCTTGGTGCCAAGGAGGTGAAGTGGGAGCTCTCATTGCCAATATCTTGGCTCAGAGAAGAACACACTATGTTCTAGGGAAGACCCCTGGGGGTTCTTGATGCCCACTGTTATTTTTCTGAGAGCATATATATACTCAGAAAAGTACGATTCCAGGTAACAATAACAATTTCCACATCTCGACTCCCATTTCCATAATCAGTGAACAAATAGGTATTAAGCACTTATTATGTGTCAGGCACTGTGCTAGGTGATGGGGGGGAGGGTACAAATACCTAAAAGGGACAGTCCCTGCTCTCAAGGGACTACCATTCTACCAGAATTCTATAGGGCTTTAAGACTTGGAAAGGTTCAGCCTACAGACTCCCTGAAACAAGCATTCTAGGTGTTGTTTTCATTTTACAGATGAAGAAACTGAGGCTCAGAGAGGGGCCATTCCTTGCCCATGATTGTACAACTAGAAACTCAGGTCTTCTACATCCCATATTTCCAATGCTCTACAATGCTAATAAAACCCACCACACTCAAGGATTTCTCCCCATTCTCTCCCATGCCTGCCCAAAGTGAATTTCTTAGCCCCTCTACTCCTAAAATGCACAAAGGTCAATGAAAAGGGAATTTGCTTTATTCAAGTCTGAGAGTGAGACACTGGGAGGGGAGAGAGGAAGACCGTGGATGGCAGTGTCCAAGGGCACAGAAGGACACACCATTTCCTCTTGCCTTCTGATTTCCCCATGGCAATAAATAGCTCCTAAGGAAGTCAGGTAATGCCAGGCAGGGACGCGCCGGGCATCTCTAGTGTCAGCAGTGGGAGACTTTGCCAAGCTTGTCTCTCACTTCCCCTTCCTGGGGCCGCATGCACACACATGGAGGTCACATCCAAGTCCAACGTGGATGGGGAGGGAGGCACATGTAGAAGGGAACAGAGGGGGAATGAGCCACACACAGTGTCCTACCCTCTGCCCCCTCTTCCCTGGCACACCTGGGGGCCCTGGCATTCCCGAAGCTCCAGACTCTCCCTTTGAGGCAAGGCAAGAAAACAGAGTCACTGATGAGAAGACGGAGGAGGTGTCCCACCCCGAGCCCCAGGGACTCAAGGAATCCCAGCATCTCAGAGCTGGAGACCTCAGAAGGCACCTGATCCACGCCCACTAGCTTAGCAGTAATTCTCTCCATAGCATCCCTGCTAAGAGATCAGTCAGCCTCTGTCTGACCGCCCGCAGTGATGGAAACTGAGACCTCCTATGGCTGCTCACTCTATTATCTCCAAGTTTTCCCCCCAACACTAAGTCTAAATCTTCCTTCCTTCAGTAACCATCCACAGGTCTTATTTCTACCCTCAGGACCAAGCTGAAGACGTGGAATCTTTTCTCTCCCTCATGGATCTTCAAATATTTGAAGGCAGCTACTGCGTGTCTTTTGGTCTTCTCTTTTCTGGTTCAAACAGCCCCGGTTCCTCCAACTGATTTCTCCCTTCCCTCCCTGCTTTTCAGTTTCCCTTTTGTGTGTTGTTTTCCTCAGTTAGAATGTAAGCTCCTTGAGGGTGGGGATTGTCTTTCTTTATGCTTGTTAGCATAAAGCACTTAGCCTAGTGCCTATCACATACCAGTAAGTGCTTAATCTTTCTCTCCCTCTGTCCTTCCTTCCCTCTCTCCCTCCTTCCCTCTCTCCCTCCCTTCCTTCCTTCCTCCCTGTCTTCCTGCCTTCCTCATACCGGTCCCCTTTTCCTGGATGCGGCTTATTTCATCAAAGTCCTTCCTAACATCTGGCACCACAAATGTAATGCCCTCCTCCAGATGTGGTCTGACCAAGCTGGAGGACAGTATGTTATCATTTTCCTCGTGCTGGGCACTATGCCTCTCGTTATGTAGTCAAAGGTCATGTTAGAGCTCTGGGTTTTGTTTTGTTTTGTTTTTTGCAGTGGAAGATGGCAGTGGGTATGATGGATATTGTTTTGAACTTGAAGTCAAGAAGACCTGGGTTTGAATCCTGCCTCATAGCCTTACTCTCCATGTGACCTTGGGTCACTCAGGCCCTCTGGACCGCAGTTTCCCCAACTTTAAAAAGCAGTTGGATTCTAAGGTTTCTTCTGATCTCCAACAGTGATCCTATGACTCTTTAAGCTCCTGTAACCTGCTAAAACCCATTTCCACGGATAACAATAATGGAGACAAGGGCAGGAGCTCTCCAGCTGAAGGGGATTCAGAAAAAACTGAACAGAGACCAACCGGACATGGCAAACTGAAAGACCTTTTGGACCCTGGAACGTGGCACAGTGTGCAGAGAACTGGGTTTGGAGTCAGGGGCCCTGTGGTTCAATCTACCATTTAGTAGCTGTATGATGTTAGCCAAAGCACTTCCCTTTTTCTAGGTCTCAGTTTCTTCCTTTGTAAAGTGAGTTTGTAGGAGAACAAAGGGAAAAACCTCAATGGCTCTAAATCCTAAGGTAATCGCCTTAGGTCACCTTTCCATTTATTCTGAGTTTGTCTTGTCTATTCAGATAAGTGACTTTCCTCATTAGAAAGTAAATTCCTTGAGGCAGCTCTTTTTTGAGCTTGGAGCAGTCCCTGGCCATAGTGACAATTTAAGAAATGCTTGTGAATGGGTTATGTGAACCTGTTTCCAGTTCAGACACTGACCCCTGCATCTGGCCCTTTCAACTCCAAGATCCACGTGCCTAACTCTATATTGTGACTTGTTCTCACTGTATTTTGGACCCCTGACCACCCAGGACTATTTTGGCAGCGTGACTAAACCAGGAAGGGTACCCCCAAGCTAGGCAGACTCTTCTCAATTTGCAACACTCAATCCAAGCCCCTTAGAAACAATCTAATCCAGGGATTCTTAACTTGGGGTCAATGGACACCCAAGGCATCTGTGAATAGATTTCAAGTGGTCTGTAAAACTGAACTGGAAAAAAAAATCACATGTTTATTTCAGTACAATTGCATAATTCTGAGAAGGGATCCACAGGTTTCACCAAAGAGATCAGACACGCATGCACACACACACACACACACACACACACACACACATCCTCTAATCTAATCCAACCCTCTCATTCTATATCGATAAAAGAAGCTAAGTTTTGGAGAATGACTTCTCTCAAGTCATACCCAGGTAGTAAGTAGCTGAGGTCCTCTGACTCCAAATCTGGTGCTCCAGGAGGGGGGAAAGCAAAAGGGAGCAGAGCCTGCTTCAGGGATAATTGGGATTATTTTTGAGTTCTTATATCCAAATGCTACTCCTAGTAGGGTGACATGTAGGGACTGGGCTGGGAGTAAGAGGTGTCGTGGAGAGAATAGTGGAAGGAGGAACCAGCTACCAGGATGATGCGCTGGAGGCCACATGTGGCAACATCAGTGGCCATGAAAGCTGAGGGAGGGAGGGAGGTAGAAAGATGGGTGTCTGCTACCCAACAGCAAACACCAGGTGTCTTTGCTGGGGAGGTCCAGAGCTACAGAGCTGGGCATCTTTTGCCACCAGTGCCCACCCAGACCCACCCAGATACTTGGAAAGGACAAGAAAGCCCAGAGCAATTGTAGTTGTGGGGGCAGCCCTGCCAGGGAAGCTTGAACCAGCCATGGCAATACCTTGGCTCACCCTGTGAGCAAGAAAGATGGGAAAACAAGGAATGAAGGAAAAAAGGGAAAGAAATTCAGAGGCAGAGAACGTCCTGACCTTTCAGAGCAGCACCCAGGGAGAGTCACTGGATCATCTTGGAATCACCAAGACCTGAGTTCAAATCCAGACTTTGACACATACCTCCTGTGTGACCCTGGACAAACATCTCAACCCCTCACTGCCCACAGGCCCTCCTGAGGCTACAAGTTATAGATGAAGTGTGGATCTGCATCCCCCAAAAGCCTCCTTGCCTTGGCTGAATGCTTTCCAAAATGGGAAAATAACCCTGATGTAACTCATCCTTACTGCCTTCCAGCATTTCCTTCGCTATTTGGGGAGCCCTAGTCCTTTTTGAGGGGAGGCAGATGACCACATCCTAGACTTTAAGCTGGAATGCAAAGCTGAGATCTTCCTGTCCAAGTCTCTCATCACACAGAGGAGGGATCTGCCGTTCTCCAAAGCAAAGCGACTCGCCCTGATTCGCACACGTAATAAGTAGCAAAGTCAGATTTGAACCCGTGTCCTCTGATTCCGCATGCAGCAGCATCCTTTTTGTGGTACCATGAGGAGGCCTGGGATCCCTGGGGGAAGTTCTAGCCTGGTTAGGAGTCAGCTGGATTAGAGAAGAGAGGGTGTGTATGCAGGAATGGGGGGAGGTACGGGCCTATTTGTATCAATTTATGCTGAATGAGGAAAACCTTAAGGCATGAGTGCTCATTATCATCCTTGTGAGTTTAATCCGGCTGTGTGACCCTGGACAAGTCATGTCACCCTGTTTACCTCAGTTTCCTCATCTGTAAAATGAGCTGGAGAAGGAAATGGCAAACTACTCCAGTATCTTTGCCAAGAAAACTCCAAATGAGGTCAAGGAGAGTTGGATATGACTGAAACTATTTAATAACAGCAATAGCATGTATATAGTGCTTCAAAGGCTTGCAAAGTCTTTTACGAATATTATCTCATTTGATCCTTACAACAATCCTGAGAAGTACGTGCTATTATTAACCCTATTTTTACAGATGAGGATACTGAGGCGGAAAAGCCAGGTGACTAGCTCAGGGTCACACAGGTAGCATGCTTCTGAGGCTGGATTTGAACTCAGGTCTTTCTGTCTCCAGGGCCAGCGCTTTGTGCACTCTGGTGCCCCCTAGCTGCAGTGTGCTTCCTCCTCAACTAGCCTGGGAGGCTGGTAGAACAAGAGTTATCATTCCCATTTTACTGATGAGGAAACTGAGGCACAGAATGGGAACATGGGAAAGGTAAAGGTCACCCAGGAAGTAAGGGGCTGGGATTTGAGTTCATTCAAGCCTTTCCTCCTTGACCGCACTGTTCTAGTGCTGCCCCTGATCCTACCCCTCCCAGATTAAGTTTTAAAGTCAAACTGACCTTCATCCCGAAGGCAGCTGTCCCTGGAGCCCCCTGACAGAGAGAAAAGACAAGGACATTTATGGGAGGAAGGAGAAAGACAAGTGAGAAAGTAGAACATACTCATACCATGCACGCACCTCCCAAAGCCCTGTCTCTTCTGGTCTCCCTGCAGCAGGCCAGGGGCAGGGGTGGGGCTAGGTTCCCCTCCTGAAAAGCCAGGCTTCTGGAGAGTGCCCTGGCTTTCCCTGTGCCCCAGCTTGAGGCCCCACAGAGTCCCTGGGGAGGGGGATGTCTCTTAAGTCCCAGGGTGATTCCCAGGTTGGAGAAGGGAATCCCCAGGGAGGGATTCAGGGCAGAGGAGAGAAGGCAACTGGTCAACCAGAGAGCCACCAGACAGATTGCCTGGGACTCTGGGGTTGAAAGGAATAAGGCTAGGAAAAACGATCAAGCCAGATCTTTGGGGATTTCCTCAGAAGTCAAGCAAGGGAAGTGGAGGGCTGAGAGCAAGATGGACCCTTCAGGAAGAGGGATCTCAGGAAGAGATAAGAATGACTAGCTCCAGTTTCTAGCAGGTTTTAGGACACATGAGGTGATTTCCTTACAATCCATCTGAGGGAGACACAACAGTTATTAGTGTGTCTATTTTACAGATGAAGAAACTGAGACACAGAAATGGGAACGTGACCCGCCCATGGACATACAGAGCAAGCTAAGGTCAGAGCTGGGATCAGGTAGTGAGGGAGAGAGAAAAGAAATGCAGGGAAGCCAGCAGAGCTCAGTCCATTCTTCTGAAAGGTACCTTGGGTCCCGGCCTTCCTGGCATCCCGGGCATGCCCCTCTCCCCCTGAAGTGAGAAATGAGAAATGACAGTGAGAATAGAGGCATGAGCCTTGGGCACCAAGATCCACCAGCAGTGTGAGGCCCTGCCCAGAACAATCCAGAGAGAGCAGGGCCAGTCCCTTATAGAAACAATGATCTTAAGAAGAATTCACATTTCCGTGGAGATTAAAGTTTGCAGAGCATTTTCCTCTGGTCCTGCAACATAGGACGGCTAAGTGTTATCATACCCACTTTAGAGGGCAGTAAGCTGAGGCTCAGAGGTGCCATAGCTGAGAAGAGCTGAAATCAGAGTGTGATGCCAAATCCTATCTCAAGACACTTTCCTCTACACCCTGTGTGATCAAGGGGCTTGTCTGGCCCCGGGTCGACTCCCAGGGAGTGGATTATGGCACAGTCTCCAGAAAGATCTGTTACATTTCAAGAAAAGGAGTGATCCTAGGACCTTAGGGGCAGAGCTGGAAGGGACCTCAGGAGCCAATCCAGTCCATCCTCCCAATTTTACAGATGAGAAAACTGAGGCTCAGAATAGTAAGTGACACTGTCCTTTCCACTGTGCCAAGGGAAAGGGAGAGGCAACTGGAGGCAAGCTGCTAATCCTACAATTTGCCCTGAAATTTCATGCCCCCAAGCCCTACCTCCAACCATCATAATGCTGTCAGTTTTAAAAAGAACTATCCTTAAAAAATGCTGAGAGGATGGGGCAGGTGTTAGAATGCCCATTGTGCGGATGAGAAAATAAGTTTGGAAAGCCTAGCTAGTACATTCAGGATTTGAACCCAGGTTCTCGGATTCCAAGCCCAGCACCGCTGCCTCTGTTTGAGCCTGGCAGCAGCAGCTCCTTTATCTTTTTGTCTGAAGGCTCCCAGAGGCTCCTTCCTTTCCTGTTTCCTAGGGCTGGTCCTTCCCACAGGGCATCAGCACATCTGGGCGTCTGTCCAGGGGCCTCTGGGGCCACCTGCATTTGGGATGAGTAATCCTGGCAGCTCCCCTCCCCCACTCTGTCCCCACTGATTTAATAAATGCCTTTTGACTGATTGACTCACATCATGGGAGCTTGCCCAGTCGGCTTGGTGGAGGCTTCCAATTCTTCCCACATCCCCTTCATCACCTGACCATCATTTTTTTTTTTTTTGAGCAACAGAATTGTTCTGATGTCAGTTAGGAGAAGAGATAGAATCAGTTTTCCTTTTCTGAAGGGATAATTTTCAAGCTGGAGAGATTATCTTCATTTTACAGTTGGGGAAAGTGAGGCCCAGAGAGGGGAAGGACCCCTGGTGGGAATCACAGAAGTCCTCTTGCCTCCAGATTTAGTGCTTAGTCTCCTACTGTACAAATATCACCAATTATCTTTTGTTGAACGGGAGGAAATGGTGGCGGTGAGTGACAGGATGGCAATCCGCAGATAACAGTAACTCAACATTTCCATGCATTGCATTCTTACCACAACCCCATTGTTATACCCGTTTTACAGATTAGGAGACCAAGTTCCCACTGCCTAAAGCATCAATCTGACCATGCCACTCTCCATCTCAAGATACCTCAATGCCTCCCTATTGTCCTTAGGGTAAGATACCAACTCTTCTGTTTGGCATCTAAAGTTTCTTGCTCTGGCTCTGGCTTGTCTTTGATCCTTCCCCTTCATTAACTCTATCTTCCATTCACATTTTCTGTTGCTCATCTATGATATCCCATCTCCCATCTTGCCTTTGTACCCACTGCCCACCCTGCCAGGAAAGCCCTCCCTCCTCATGCCTGCCTCTTCTAAGTCCCATTTCACATGTGGCCTCCTTGTGAAGCCCTGGCCAGGGCTCTCCCTCGCCCCAAACTACTTGCATTTTCTTTGTATTCAACTGAATGTATATGCACCGCTTCTCCCAGATAGATGATCAGTTCCTTGATATCAGGGACCATCTCATTTTTGTCTTCACATCCCACCTGGCACGTAGTAGGCACTTTAAGATGAATCCCCATCTGTCAGTGGTCCAGCTGGGGCAGGAGCATGGGGGAACAAGGCCACCATTCTTTGGTCAGGAAGCCCCGGGGGTCTGACCCCCAATTTGACAACTTCGGGCTAAGGCAATCTGCCTGTCATTACTGCCTGTTTCCTGAAGGCCAGAGTCACCAAACGGTGATTCTGCAGCTGGTTCCTGCCTCCTCTCCTCTTCATTTCTGGCCCCTCAAGACAATGGTGAGGTCAGCAGGGTCTGTGGGAGGAGCTAAAACAAGACCCCTGAATAGCTTTCATTTAGTCTCCATGACCTCTCCACCCCTACTTGCCTTGGGGGTCAGCCTCTGATTCTGGAAATGACCAAGTTCCTCTAAACCCACATCTCAAAATTCCCTCTGGGCAGCAGCAGGAAGGAGGGAGGTTTCCCAGCTTGAATCTGGTTGCCTCCAAAAATCCTTCCTTCTTCCAAAGAAATGCTTAGGAATAATCTGCTTAAAGTGCAGGCGTGACCTGATGCTTCCTCTCTTAAAAACCTTCAATGGCTCACTATTACCTATGGTGCAGTGGATAGAGCACTGGGCCTGGAGCCAGGAAGACTCATCTTCCTGAATTCCAATCTGGCCTCAATTACTAGCTGTGTGACCTTGGGCAAGTCACTTTATCCTGTTTACCTCATCTGTAAAATGAGCTGGAGAAGGAAATGGCAAACCACTCCAGTATCTCTGCCAAGAAAACCCCAAGTGGGGTCACAAAGAATCTGACATGACCGAAACAATTAAACAACAACAAAATACAGGTGCTTTAGTGTGGTGTTCAAGGCCCTTCCAAAGTCTCTATTCTCCTTCACGTACTCTATATTTAGGAAAATCTAATAATCTAATAAACATTTATCAAATGCCTACTATATGCCAGGCACGGTGCTAAGGACTGGGGATATAAATAATAAAAAGAAAGACATCTGAACAGTTCACTGACTCTTGATCTCGATCTCAATCCAACCTCTGAGCTTTTGGGTAGGATATTCTAGATGGTGGAATATATAAAGTGCAAGATTTGGAGTCAGGAAGACCTGAGTTCAAATACTGCCCCAGATATTCCCATTCTGTGTAACCCTGAGCAAGTCACTTAACTCCTCTGTGCCTCAGTTTCCTCATCTGTAAAATTGTGATAAAGTAATGTTACCTGACTTACAAGACTGTTGCAAGGCTTAAATGAGTTCAAATATTTAAAGTACTTTGCACAGTTCAAAGCACTATATAAATGCTACTATTATTGTTATTATTAATATTGTTACTCTCCAGTGCCTGAAACCCACCCCCTACTCATCTCTGCCTGTGGAAATCTTGACTCTCCTGGAATTAGGAAGAGCTGAATTCAAATCTTGCCTCAGCTATTTACTAGCTGTGTGACCTTGGGCAAATCACTTAACCGCTGTCTGCCTCAGTTTCCTCAACTGTAAAATAGGGATAATAACTTCCCAGGGTTGTTGTGAGGATCAAATGAGATGATACTTGTACAGTGCTTAGTACAGTGTCTGGCACGTAGTAGGCATTTAATAAATGATTGTTTCCTTCCTTCCTTCAGTTCAGGCCACCTTCATGAAGAAGTATCTTCTGAAGTCCACAGTTGAAAAGAGACCTTTTACTTTTTTTCTATTTTAACCCTCTCCTCTAACCTACTCTGTCAGGCTTTTTTTTCGTGTGTGTGTGTGTGTGTGTGTGTGTGTGTGTCCGGGTGGTATCCCCTCATAGTAAGCTCTTTATTTTGTTTTTGTTTGTTTGGACTTTTTGTCTGTTGATTTTGGTGTAGGAAAATCTCTTCTCTGATGCAGATTGCTGAATACTTTGCAACTTAAGAATCCTAGAGTGTGTTTTGGGGGTGCTGAGAAATAAGCTGACCACACAACATGCATCAGAGGTAGTTCTCAAACTCAGGTCTTCCTGACTTTGAGGCCAGCTCTCCTTCCTGCCACGCCAGGTTGCTTCCTGTTATTATTGTCATAACTATTATTACTCTGGCTAATACCGATACGAGCTGACTTACAGTGCTTTAAGCTTTGCAGAGGGTTTTACACATGTTATCTCTTTCAATTTTCATACAATGTTGCTGTGAATAGCTCGTAAGTGTCTGAGAGCCTTTTTGAGGCTGAGAGCTGTATTTTGTTTCATCTTTGTTGCCCTGGAGCCCAGCCCAGAGTGCGGTGGATGTTTGCTAAATGTTTGCTGAGGTGATTTGGGGCCAGATGTGCCTTGGGAGGGTACTAGAAGCCTCAGAAAGAACTGTCCTCAGTTGTGCCTTTGAGTGCCACCTGCAGGCTGTAAATGAGGTCGGTCCACTCACTGTCTGCTCATCCTTAGCCAACGTTTCCTGAGTGCTTCTCTGCTCCCAGGACTCTGGGGATGGTCCACCTATCTACCTGGGAGGGAGTCGGGAATGAGCCTGGCCCCGTTGTCCCATCTGCCTACAGTGGCCAGCAGGGGGAAGCACAGGACCTTGGTTGGAGACCCCATTATCCTTGGAGAAGGTCTGGCCACAAGATCCCCCCCCCCAATCTCTCCCACTCCCCACTCCTGCTTCCCTTGCACCTCTTGCTCAGCTAGCGCCATACGGGTGGGGTAAACGTGGCTCTTCCTAGCACTGCCCCGTGAGGTCCTTCGTCCGGTGGAAGCCAGGTCACCAGGCTTCCTCGACAGTCTGGATGGCCCCTCTCTCATGGGCATACCCTGCAGACCTTTCAGTTCTATGGGGCTCCCTGAAAGACTACTGCATGCTTATTCTCCCCTCCGCTAGGAGAACACAAAGGAAACATCCCGGGGAGCCAAGACGGGGAAGGAGGACAGCTTGCCCAATCAACTCGCCCGCTTACGTTCTCACCTAAGATCACAGCATCCCAGAATCTGGGTCTAGGGCTGAGAGGGCTCTCAGCGGCCAGGGAGTCCAGCCTCCTCATTCTACAGATTAGGAAACTGAGGCTCACAAGGTAACATAACAAAACAGGGGAGATTTGAACTCAGACCCTTTACCTCCAGAGCAAGTATTCTCTCCAGCGTACCAAG